CTTGTACAGTATATATGTACATAGACCGCTTAAAATTGAACCAATATGATCAAAGAAAATGGTTATTTGTCCTATTTCTGTTTAGAAATTCCAAACGAAATCGATGTATCTGATGATATACAGTATATATACTGTTTATAAAAAATAGAATTTATGAAACACTTATTTCAAAACAAATACGTCACTAATATAATTCGAAATCAGAAACCTGAACATTAATTCTGAATCATCCTATTAGTATTTATTTATTAACAAATATCAACAATATCATCAATTTATTTACTATATAGAAAGTGGTGCTATTAGATGTTCAGTGAAAATTGCTAAAACCCAATCGGAATCATTCGATATAAATCTATAAATAAACGTTGGTGGAAAGTATTATATTTTATAATTTATAAATACAAATAAAAATATCCCTTCTTTTTGAAATTCAAAAAAAAAATAATTTAATTCTGATGTAATTTTGTATTTAAAATCGATGGATCTATATTAGGGTGGATAATTAATGTTCAGGTTTCTGATTTCGAATTAAATTAGTGACGTATTTGTTTTGAAATAAGTGCTTAATAAATTCTATTTTTTTTTATATGTTAATACGTATATCATCAGAAAAATACATCTATTTCGTTTTCCGATTTCGGAATTTCAAAACGGAAATGGATTTCTAAACTCCACACTTATTCTCGAAATAATTTAATTCTGAATCACCCTATCGCTATTATGTAAATTGGAGATTGGAATCGGCTTAGTCGACTACTATGTTTAGTCGACTAATTAGTCGATTAAACATAGTAGCTTACTATAAAAATTTTTAGTCGACTGTAGAAAACAAACCAAATGTGTAACGTTTTTAAAAAATCTGAAATTAGTGACGCGTAATGTAAGTAATTTCTTCGTGAGAGACAATAATATATTTAAATACCGGCAATTTGGAGTTCCATATTACTGTTTATAGCAATGTTTTTAATACTCACTAACTAAATTAAATTGTAAAATATTCATGAAACTTGATTAATAAATAGGATCTCTGACCCAAATCCATTATTTGAGTACCCAGAAATATGACCGATGACGTACTTTTTTTGCAACATCCACAGTCGTAATTCAAGACGTGACCGATATGTCAAAAAGCTACAATTTTAAGTTTGTCGTAATGTTGGAATATTATGCCGTAATATTGGCTTATCATTATGCCGTAACTTCAGATATGTGACATAATATTCGATGATACCTAATATGAAACGACGTAAAGACTAAAAAAAATGAAGTTAGATTCAAAACCGAAAATTAACCTTTTTTTCAAAAATAGTGAATTTTATTAATAAACCTGACATAATCAACTTTTTAAAAATTTTTTATTAATAGAACGATTAAAATAAGAATGACTTATAAATTATTCTTTATAATATATTATAGAATGTAAATTTACAAAAAAATTTGTATCATACATTGTAAAAATAAGGATTATTAATTGTTACAGTATAACACGAAAATAATACCCCCTATGATTAAGATCTGATATTATTCACCATCCCTACTAGCCTGTTTCTTGAACAAGACCCGGATATTGATTTACTATCTATATAATATGATATATCTCTCAAATATAGTATCCATAGTACTATTAAATTTTAAAAATGGTTTTTTTGAATAAGGCCCGGGTACTGCAGATTCTTTACATTCGTTTGATTAAAACTTCAATTTGTACGTATATTTTGCAAATATATATACAAATAAGTTAAATTATGTTTATCACATCAACATCTAATATTAGAAAAACTTGATTGCGACATATGTCAGCTATTACGACGCATTTGACGTAACTACTCATCTTTTTGACGTAACCATACGTCACCAAGTTTTTTTCACCTCTCTAAACAAGAAAGTATGACTCAATAAATAAAAAAAAAACAACTTATTGTAGTGATCAAAAGTTTATGCGTGAATTATTATTATATAAGAAATTGATTATCCGATTTTGAAAAAAATTAACCTTAGCCAATTTTCTTTTATTGACCAGGATCACTGGTTCCCACACCACTAAACAAAGCAGAAGCTAGTTTCTCTTTTTCTGGTGTCATTTTTGTCTTTGAAGTTACTGATGCGGTAGACTGTATCTAAAATAATGGGTAATTAATTAATTAATAATAGCAAACATCTCAACTAAATTGAAAATAATTTGTTAGGAGATACTAAAAAAAGTCACCTTATCTGAGGCTCGCAAGGATGAACGGATATTACTCGTGTTGTATTTTATTGATCTTACCACACAAAGCATAATATTTTTGGTTACAAATATATAGAAAATATAAAATCAAATAAGAAATAAAAACATACTTATCACTTGTGTAACCAAAAGAAAATTCAAATTGTTTATAAATGAAATATATATTTTGAAAAATCAATTATGTAACTGAATTAAAATAGAAATAAGACAAACTATTTATACCTTTCTGTGCTATTAATTGGCTTATATCCTGCGCGACTCCAACTTTGTGTGCTTGGTTGTAGCTTCATTTTTGGTATCGATGATATCATTGACTGGCGACTGAATGGATTTAATCAACAATGAGTTATATGACGTATATATGCAATAATATTTGGTAATGTCAAAATTAATACTTTGAATCAATTTCTTCATAATCACTATAATTTGGTTCTTGCAAGTCTGTCAGCAAATTTGTGTGCTCTTGTGGGTCTGTCAGCAAATTCGTGCTTTCATGCACATTTTCTGGTGGCAAATGTTCTTGCGTGATTCCAAACCAAGCTAGCTGACCAGGAGTAACTGGTGGGCCTACACCTCGACTGCTCTGATTACTTCGATCATTAAACGACAGTACATCTCTATCAGTTGCTGATAGTCTAGCATCAGTGTAGGCGGGCAGATTAATTATTTTCTTGGGAAAATGGGGCATATCAGGTTTTTCATAAGCTTCATAACGAATTTCAGTCGCTGTTGATAATAAAAATATATAAGAAAGGTTTGCTGTTATTGCCAATCGCTTTTTTTTTTTTTTTTTACCTGCATTGGTGTCTTCACGAGTAATTGGTATTCGATTATATGGTTTGGCTCCATTTTTTAATGCATCTTCGATGAAATCATCAAGAAAAGATAATGATTCATCAATCTTTAAATAAATAAAAATATTTTACCGATGCCTTTATCGACGTCACAAAAGATATTAGGAAATCATTAAAGTATACACACTGTGATATCATCAGGTTTTATAATTTTGTCCAAAAGCACAAAGTCTTGCGATAAAATTATAAACTCACGGCTTCTCTATAATACCAAATTCATTTCAATGTTATATATAATAATAATAATGCAAAAAATATAGTTACACCATTCACCTGTTTTACATCTCCGGATGATGATTGGCAACATTTCGCTACACATTCTATTATATTATCGGGGCAATATTTCATTTTTGAAACACATTTTAACAGCGTAGTAATTACTTGAGCTTGAATTTCATAATCAACTAAAGAAAATGTAATAATGACCATCATTAAACTAATTTTTATTTCGACTTTCAGACTTCAACACTTTATTGCTTTACCTTGTGTTAATAGTTCACATAATCTATTATATACTTTTTCCTGAAGTTCTGTAGACTTCACAAATTCTCCTAATATCTAAAAAAGCAAAATTTTAATAAATTTAGATGAAATATAAAATAATTCAGGAGTATAATAAAAATATTCAACCTGAAGAGCCCATGAAATTAGGTTCTTGGTCGTATTATTAATATCACTTTCTAAAACTTTTATCGCTTCTGATACTGCACATTGACGAATTTCTTCACTCTTTTCTTTACTTTCAATACCTATGAAGGTAAAATTATTAAATGATTTAAGCTTTTATAAATATACAATGAATAATATGTATATTCTATTTATTACTAACTCTTTGAGATAATCAGGAATGTAGAGTTTACAGTTTTATCATCCAATAAATCACCAGCAACTTCAAATGTTGTGATGATCGTTTTTACCAACCATTCAGGACTTGGAAGAAATGTTTAAGTTGCGCAATATTGATAAAATAAAATTTGTCAAGAACAATCGAAAAATCAAAATTAATAAACATTATAAAAGTTTTATTTTTGTAAATTAAGAGGATATTTTCCAGATATCTCAACAATTCTATTCACCAAAAGTAGACGTGAAAATTCATCAATTGTTGAAATAGTACGTAAAGCATTGATCATATGCTCCATAACCACCACAACATTCTGTGAATTAACCATCGCGTAAAGCAAATCTAATGTCTGAAATATAATTAAGAAGATTAATCATAGTATTTATGTTTTGAAAATGATTAAAACTGACCTTTCTCTTCAAAGTATCATCTCTCTCTTCTAAGCAATCCACAATTATATTCATTTGTTCTTCACCCCACCATTCGCCTTCGATCCACCAAATTGGATCGATTTCAGATAAACATGTCAATCCCAAATATTTAAGATTATGATTATTTGATTTTAAAAATCGAGTTATTACATTTAATGGGTTAAGATTTGGAGATTTATGAATGAGAGTAGATAATGTTTGTGGATGTAATCGTGATATTGCTCTAATACATTCGAATATTATCGCTGTTCGAATAATTTAAAGTTAGTGACAATTAATACCTTAGATACCGTTCAAAGAAAAAACAAACCATAAGCAGCATCCACTCCATTTTCTGCTTTTCTAAGAGTATGAACAATAAGGGGTCCAATTTCTGAACTAATCCTAAACGAAATATTTAACAAGAAATGTAAAATCTTGAAAAAATGATAATAAATAATAACTTTTAAATTTACTTTTCATCGTCTTGTGCCAGTAAACCCATGATCTCGACTATTTTTATTTGGATCCATGGTGCTGGAACACCATGATAATCGTAGCTCCGTGGCAACCATCTGTCAAGAACTTGTTCCAAAATGCTAATTAGGGAAGGAACCAAATCTTTGAATTTATTGGGATCAGCCTGAATATGAAATATATGAAGAATAAATAAATATACAATAACCAGTAAGAAATTTTGCGATAATAATACCTTTACAAATTCGAGAAAAAGACATAATATTGAACCTAGTACACTTGGTTCACGTTCTGTCAACATCTGACGAAATTTTTCATCAAGATGCACCATCGTATCTGGAGCATCATGAAATAATCTGTGAAAAACCATTACAGCTTTCTTACGGACGATATCTCTTATAAAAAGTAATTCCAGATAAACTGTTAATATAATTTGAATCCAGAATGTAAACTAAATTCAATTAAAATGATTTTTTTTACTTTGGATGTGTTAAAGATTCCTCTGCGAGTCCAAATACAGCTGGTATCATATCTTTATTTAGCAAATGACATAAAGCGGTCAATGCAGAGCATACTTCAAGATAATTATTGCTCTTAAGGTCCTATAAAAAAAAATACATTAAGATTAACAGTAGTTGCGAAATTAAACATCAATTCATATCTTTAAAATAAATACCTTTTGTAATGTATTAATTAGCATAATACTAAGTTCATGCGTCTCATGTAAGAATAAAGAACAGGCCAAATAGCCTATATATATATATAATTAAATGTTCAATATTAATTCGATGCTTAAACGATTGATTATTTACAAATTTATTGTTTACATTATTACTGTAATTTTTTTTTTTTGCAAAAAGAACTTGCCAATTCGTTTATCCCACAATCCTTTAGCAGATTGTGCCAATTTTACGGCGTGAATATGACCAAATTCGACATTATAGCCCAACATTTCACAGTAAATCAATCTGGTTATGTAATCTTTGATTTTTCTCTTTATTTTGTAATGTATATTTACAAATTATTCAATTATATAAAAAAGAAAAAAAGTTATAAAATATTTGAAAATACACATATATATATGTGTACAATTTTACATAAAATTAAGAAAATTTACAGATGAAATATCGGGTTGATTTAATTTGGTTTTGAGAGAAACAATTTCTTGAGAGACATATCGATCTTCTTCCTTTAATTGATAAAAATTTTCAGTAATTAAAATTTGCTAATTATATGGATTACACCTGAATTATCAATTTTAGACGTAAATGTCTATATTTCTACCTGCTTGCTTCTAGCTTCGCCAACCTTGGTCACAAATTCGAAAAATCCACGACTTAGTCCTGACGTCAAATAAGTTGTATTTAAGATAGTCGGCAAACGAGAATTCATGATTTTGTACAGATGTGATTTATGAAATTCAAATCTATTTATACTTTATAACGATTCTTATTTTTGCAGGTGATACCAATCATGTGCTACAGTACAGGAATTCTTTAATAAAGGTGACCAGAATTTTATAATGTCCTGTAACTTTGCACAAATAAGGATGACTCGATAAGAATATGAACCAACATTTAATTAGTAATTTTGACCAGAATTATACTAATTCAAAATAACATCGGCCAGAATTAAAGTGAGAGGTTTCGACCACTTTGATGGACACCGAGGATATACTATATTAACTGTCACAGATCCTAACTCTAAAAAATGCACCCTGTATTTTTGGTGGCTTGTCTATTTGACATTATCAGTCATTTCATTTTAATCTGATCCGTCACAATTATAATTATCAGAAGCAATTAAAATTCTTAACCCTAGTTAAGGAATTTATTTATAAGCATTGTACGTGTACGTACAAAAAAAAAAAATCTGTATTGTACGTGTTCGTACAAAAAAAAATAAGGTGTGTGTGGGTATTATGGCGAAGCTAACATTTACTACTAACAAAAATTTTTGTTTTTTGATAATTTTTTTTAAATTTATATAAATTTTATCTTGCTTAATAATTGTCGGGGATGATGCTGAAATTGGCTGATGCTGAATTTAGAGTCCCTATTTAAATTTATAATACCTACTAAAATTCACATATATTTTTTTACTAACAACACTCTAAAAAAAAAACCCTAACGAAAAGGCTCGAAAATTTTTTAAAATTTCATAATAAAATAGGCCAAAATTTCAGCTTCATCCGATTTCAGCTTCATCCCCGACAATAATTATATATATATATATAAAAAAAAATCGAGTTTTATATAAATTATGTAATGTAACTTAGAGGGCTACGGTTTTTAATTTCGTGAGGGTATTATGGCGAACGATATGCAAATTGACAATCATCAAATATATAACTTTTCATTAATTGACTTACACATTATACGTTTCGGCACAGAACATAAATTTTCTGCACCAAGAAATATAATGTGAAACTTGACTAATTAAAAGTTAACCAAATCGCTTCAAAATTTGAAGATATCTAAAAAAAACGGCATCTACAATAACTTTACTTAGTAGATGAACTTCGATTTGTTTAGTAAAAAATCATGTTTCCTTGTAATATGTTCAATTCGTCACAATACCCACATTCGCCATAATACCCACACTCACCTTATGTATTGTACGTGTACGTACAAAAAAAACCCCCCGAAAAAAAATAATTAAAACCGAAAAAAAAAACCATTAAACCGAAAAATCTTCTTCGGCTGTTCTTCGTCCTGCCCCTCGGAATCTAAAAATTTCTCAAGTCCTAAAACTCTTAAAGATATTTTTTCTATCGTATCGCGCAAACTTCTTATCTAATTTACAAATCATGATTTATTATCAAGTAATAAAAAACGTTAAACCATGATGTATAAAAAAAGCACTTACTAATTGGTCCTTTTCTTGATTAAAAGATTTTTTTTTTTTCTATCTAATTTATAAATCATGATTTATTATCAAGAAATAAAAAACGTTAAACCATGATGTAGAAAGAAAAATTATTTACTTCACGATCCTTTTCGGCAAGTACTTTGTCCTTGAGTTCAACCATCTTCTTCAAACGATTTGCTCTATCGATATTACCTATATACAATAATTTTACAGTATAGCGTGAATAATTACAATATAATAATTATAGTATATTTAATTTAATTTAGTACCTTTAACTTTACTTTTGATGTTCTTCAGTCGATTTAGAGTCTTAGATACAATATATATTAATTTATTAGTAAATTTCGTAAACTTGAAAAAAACATGATAAATAAAAAAAAAATAACCTCATTTTCCGCTTCCGTTTCAACGGGCTTTGCTATGCTTGGAATCTTAAACGGCTTCATTACGCTCTAATAATAATAATACAATAATAATAAAAATAAAATGTTAAATACTGAAAAATCATGTATTCGTAGTAATATTCGCGTTAAAGATATGTCAGACAAAGCTTCTCCTAAAAACGATAAAGAATAATCATAATTAATTATTCCATAACTTCTATAATTAGTAGTCATAACTAATTACTCCATATTTCATAACTAGTAGACTTTATCGTCAAGAAGTTCCTCCACGTTACAGGCGTACAGTTAGAAAAATTCTAGGAAACATAATCCTCGCAAAATAGCTTCATGTAAACCCAGCTACTTTTATGTTAACGGCTCATAAAAGCAACATAAATAAGGGCCATACACCCCCCTAAATGGTCCTCAGATTTATGTCCCGTGTCTCTGCGCTAACGCAGAGACAACCCGTAGGGCTGCAACCCAAAGGGACCGACTGAATATTACCTTATTAATTGGTGAAGGAGTTTTTCTTTTGCGGGATGATTCTACGTTGAAATTACAGGATTCTTCCATGTTGAAAAGGAATCCTTATATCAAGGAAATCCCGAGCTGCCGGCCAAAAAACTATAGGTCATAGTATCTCAAAACCTCCCCATATATTCAACATTAACAATTATGTTCTATAAATAAATTTCATTCTGAAAACTTTTACTTAGAAGTCGGAAGCCAGTTATCATAGTAAATTCTTGTGTTATTTACTCCGGATATGGTCGGAAGTGATCTTCAGCCCGGGATTTTCTTGACATAAGGGTTCGATCCCAAAGGACCGATTAACATCCCTAATTATGCGTCACATAAAGTTGCATAATTTGGGTTATTTCGCATAATAAATTCGCATAATATGAGTGTACTAGCTTTTTGGCAAATGAAATTGCTCAAAATAGAATAAAAAGCTAAGGTTTGGAGCCGGTGTATTTTTCTCTAGTTAAAACCGGTTTAACCAGTTTAGCATATGAAAAATAAAACCGGTTCCAAACTCTACATAAATAGGACAAATAACCATTTTCTTTGATCATATTGGTTCAATTTTAAGCGGTCTATGTACATATATACTGTACAAG